AACCGCTCCATGATCTTCCCCAGTACAGGTCAGGCTGACAGGCCTGTAGTTCCTGGGATCTTCCTTCTGACCTTTCCTGTAGATGGGTGTCACATTGGCAAGCCTCTAGTCGTCTGGCATGTCCCCTGTTAACCAATGGTAGATTGGTTATATATTGTGGTATAATTAAACGGTAAAATAAATTATGTCTGGGGTAAATGGGAAAATCATCATAAGGTTGTTTACCATTTACAGTAAAAAGCAAGATGAAAGACTTAATACTACAGCAGGACACCCAAGGTTGGGAAGTTAGCCAAATTTGGATCCAGGATGTCTGTGGCTCCAGCTTCAACACTTATGTGGATTTGGGATGTAACCTCTTGGCTGGATGCAGCAGCAGACTTACAAACCTTTTCTTTGTAGATGAGCTTTCTACTGGAGGGTTGCATCTGCAAAATTTAGTTGCTCTGTTGTGTAGAAAGAATGTTCTTCGTTCGCGTGTCTGTAATTTCTTAGGGTTTTAGTGGTCAGGTTGGCTGCACACAGACTGTGGGCTGAAGAGCTCTGCAATACACCTTACTCCAAAAGATGGGGGATTTCTTTTTGGATGGTACCATGGTTCTCCTCTGCAGTTGCATGCCCAGCTTTTGTTTCAGAGCGGGATTCATAGAGCAGATGATGTGTACCCAATTTGCTTCTGAGTGCGGTCAGATCCAGCATCAAGGAAACGCTGTTAGATCTGCCTAGATAGCAATTATGTTCCTCAATATTTGCCATGTTATATCTTTGTTTTTGTGGAAATCAGTGACCACTTGGCATCGCTGAGAGGAAACTGAGACTGATCTGTGTTCTGTGCTCCTCTTTGCCAGAAGCTGTGCTTGCAGTGTAGGAGTGTGTAGATAAGTGAGAAAGGGACTTGTGAACAATTTGTTTTAAACATTTCTCTCTGTCAGTCCTAAGCCTGGTAATAGTCATGGTTTCTTGAGTGTGTTATGTCTTGGTATGTTGTTCTGATCTGGAACCACATTTGGGTCAGAATTAGGGTCTATGTGGTTCCTTGCACATTCCTGAAGAATACTGTCCTTACATAGTAGAGACAATTTTTCAGTATCTTGAGTTGTTTTGCCAAGTTGTAGGGATTTGCTCAAGTATGTTTGAATGCTGCTTTTGTTTTTCGTGGTTCTGAATTTTAGTCTTTATTCTGCTTTTTCCTGCCATGTATTTTATTTTAATGAAGTTGCATATGTCTAATTAGTGAAAATCTTTGGGAAGTTTTACAACGAAAAATACTTTATAGCCTGTCACATTATTTTCCACACTATTTTGATACCAGGTTTTTGAGAGGTGTCAGCTTCAGGACTTCAGAATTATGTCACATTTCAGTGACTTTATCAGTAGGTCTTCAGCAGTGATACATTACCAACATGGTAGGCTGTGCAGAATCCAGTGCTGTTTGCAGTCCTTGTAGCAAAATAAAAAAAAAAACCTAAACAAACAAACAAATGCCACCCAAAATAAAAAATAAAAAAATATTTTCTGTTTTTCAGACTGAATGCCACAAAACAGTATTGTTTATTCTTTTAGTATGATGCCCATGCTTACACACATTATCGCAATAAAAGCTAATTAATGTCAGTTTCTTGATAAGAGGGTGAAATGCAATATTCGTTAGAACAGTGAGAGTTTGATGAAATACTGGGGAGTATAAAATATTGTGTGGCAAATATATTTCCAAATAGAGACAGAATATATTCTCTTGAGTTACCAGATGCGTAGCCTTTTCATTGCATCTGTAGTCTAGCAAATGTTATGTAAAGTCATTTCTAGACTGAGTTAATACAACAGTGGCCGTAAGTCTCTGAGAAAATGATTGTGTGGTGATTGGTAAAGATCATTTTCAGGAGCTGCTGCTCTGCCTTCTTCTCAATAGTTGTTTTAACAGTGGCATGAGCTTTAGGGATATTCCCATGGAGAATATTAGGGCATGTTACACTCACAGGTGTTTGGAATCAGGGCAGGGATCCGAAGACTTTCCATTAAGACACAGAGTGTATAGCAGGATTTTTTCAAAAGCAGTTGTCTAAGAATGCTATTTATTGACCATTTTTCCCCCTACCATTTTGAAGATGACCAGAAGGTTTCTGACTGCTTGCTTCAGTTGCAGAGCAGAATTGCATATAAATTTTAGTCAGATAAATCTCGGTCACATGAAGTAAAGAAATCAATGAATTATTATAGAACAAAGGGCATTTCAGATATTGCTGTGCATTTATTTTTTTAGATATTTGAGAAAAAGTTTATTGTTTCACAACCATATTGTAAATGAAACAAATTTGCACTTAAAATACATTCTAAAATGAAATTAAATACTCATCAACTACGCTTCTTATGGTTTTCTGAAAGTATTGTTTGTGGTGAATCCAGAGTCCATAAAACTTTATATTAGTGTTTACCATAAATTTACTTGTTGGTTACTGTTTGTCTGGTCAATATTTATTTGGTGGATATTTAAAAACTTCAGGAGTCTTGCACTTCATGGTTTTACCATTTCTCCTATCTCCTTCAAAGGCTGCTGAATATATCCCAACTGTGAAAGGATTTGCTTGCTTGTGAAAAGGGAAGTTGGCATTAATCCAAACATTTCACTGAAATTATTACAGAGTGGCCAATACAAAAACAAATTACATTTTTCATAGCACTGTAGCTTGGTGACATTCCCCCGGGGCAGACAGGAAATAGGTCACTTTGTCCCTGAGAATATTCTGGGAATTATTTTTACATGTTAAGGATGAATGGAGTCCTAGGAGTTGGTGTTCTGCTCCTTTGATGTTACAAAAGTGTGGTGGAAGTGCAGGGAAGAAAGGGAACTTCACAAGGCTAGTAGGAGAAGGTTGGGGATGAACAAGCACCAACATGGCGATGCTAAGATGCTCTGACCCACTACCTAATCATTCCCCTGCTAGCCAGGGAGAGCACCAAACCTCCCTCCCAGCCCCAGTTCTCCTGACAGCAGAAGCAGGTTTGATTCTTGTGATGGACTCGGAACAACAGGCTTTGCTAGCTGCCCCTCACTTAAGCTGTGGCGATGAGCAGCACAGGGCTGTCTGGTAGGTACTGGTCGCCTGTGCTTGTTATCCTTTTCCTTCTTCATCTTCCTTTTTACTACCTTCATACCTCCCTTCCTCCACCCCAGTCTTCTCCCAAATGACCAGCCTGCCCCTAATTAGTTTTCCCTGCTGATTCCAGTCTTACTAAATCATAACCAATTTTGATAGCGCTTGTAGTGTTCCCTCGGTAATCTCAGCAGTACTTGGCATTACCAGTGCGGTCACCCTGATGTGCTGGCTGTGCATGCCTCCCCTCCCTGGAGGTCCTCTGTCCTTCCCTTTAGCTGCTTCTAGAGTTCACCTGTTTCTCAAGTAACTCTCCCTTAACCACACTGGAAATCCAGTTAGCCCTCACGGCATTGTCTGTAACTTTTGCCAGCGTCTCTCA